TAGTATTTTAGGACTAACTTGGTCATGTGAATTTGCTACTCAGGATTGGTCAGTGGCTGGAGAATTAAGAAGAAGGAGATGGAGGAAGCTCTGCTAAGGAAAAATGAGGAAATCCAGCAGTTCATGGATGACTTACAGGTAAAAAGAAAAAGAAATTGCCCCCTTTTTGTAAGAATTGTGTATGGTATTGTAACATAATACTCAGTATTAGCAGAGACCCATCAATTTTGGTTTTATATGAATTTAAGACAATTTATTTTGATAAAGGTTAAAAAGTTTATGAGGTCTAAATGAAATATATACATTTTTTCAGTCCTGTGAGAATGAACGTGCTTCACTCCGTATGACAGTGATGGAGTTAGAAGATCGTTTAGCCGATGCAACAAAGGAGATAAATAGCATAACATCAGATTATATAAATGTCAAGGAGTCCAATAACCATGCTCAAGGTAATGACAGTACCTTGAATGTTTCCTTGTTGTGGTATATGTATTGAAATCTCATGTGTTTGTTATAGACTTTGAAAATAATAGAGATATTTAATATTGAAATTGAAAATGACCCAAAGAACAAGTAGTACAAATGGAGATTGCTGTTATCTTAAGAGAAGGATTGATGTTGTTGTTTTTTAACAAGATTAATTATACACATTCTTACATCAGTGTGCATCTTTACCCATTAGAATATGCAATATTGTTAATGAAATATATCTGACTCAAAGAGCACGTTTTGAAGACAGAAAATCTGTTATTGTATATATGAAAATGGATATTATGAGTTTGTTAATCAGTATAATATTTTACCTAATGCGCAGAGAGTCTATCCATTATTCGAGAAGAAGTTAAGGGTCTCCATTGTCAAGTTGAAGAACTGGCAGCGGAGAAAAGATTTGTGCAGGAGAAATATGATGAACTCAGCACTGCTGTTGATGCTCGAGTTGATCAGCTGAAGGTAAATGCTGCCAGCATTTCACATACGTGTAATATAATGCATTGTGATCTTTAGATTGTAATCCTTTGTTAGCAATATTAGAAATACAATTTGGGAAGCACTGAGAGAAGTTATCACAAGGATTATGAACTCCTACTTCTCTAAAAGGATTTGAGTGTTCTTAGACCAGTTGCCAGAAAATGCATTTAAATGTAAATGTTAGTTTGAACTTCCATCTACAACAGAAGCATCTATAAGTATATGTTAATGCTGTCTGACTCATGATATTGTAGTATATTAACATGGAACATACTGAAACTGGTGTTATAGATGAATGTTTAAATGGAACAAGATATTTAATGAACACATTTTGAACAACTGGTCTGAGGATGCCTTTTAACACACTTGCATATGTGGTTATGTGGTAGATTACAAACTCTATATTAAGAATAACTCATCACATGTCTCGTTTCTGTTTCAGGTTGTTATCAGTCAACGTGAAGAGGAGCTGCAGAGGGTCAAGGCCCAGCTGTTCCAAAGGAGTAACTTGGGTCCTTCCTTCCAGCAGGCTCAGAGTGACATGTCCCAGATACTTCGCTTGGAACAGGTTAGTTATAAGTTCGGAACAAGCCTGGTTAATTATTAAGATTAAAGTGGAGAGACTGCTATTGTAGCAATTGACTGTTTTTAAATTGTTCTGATGATGGACAAGGAGTTGCAAATATAGTGCTTTTTACAAATTCACTTGCAGGAGGTAAAGGAGAGGGATGAAGAAATTACTCGTCTCAGTCAGCAGTTAGCTGAAGCCACTCAGGAAATTGAGTCTAGTGCTGTGATTATAAACAAACTCAAGAAGAGTCGAGTGTAAGCGCTGAACTTTTTATACTACTTCTTCTTCTTTTTCTTTTCTTTTTTTTTTTTCTTCTCTTCTTCTTCTTCTTCTCTTCTTCTTCTTCTTCTTCTTCTTCTATTCTTCTTTTCTTCTTCTCTTCTTCTTCTTCTTCTTCTTCTTCTTCTTCTTCTTCTTCTTCTTCTTCTTCTTCTCTTCTTCTTCTTCTTCTTTTCTCTTCCTCCTCCTCCTCTCCTCCTCCTCCTCCTCTCTCTCCTCTCTCTCTCTCCTCCTCCTCTCCTCTCCTCCTCTCCTCCTATTCATTGTCTTCCTCCTATTTATCCTCCTTCTATTCCTCCTCCTCCTATTCTCTCCTCTCCTCCTCCTCTCCTCTTCCTCTTCCTCTTCCTCCTCCTCCTCCTCTCCTCCTCCTCCTCCTCCCTCCTCCTCCTCCTCCTCCTCCCCTCCTATTCCTCCTCCTCCTCCTCTCCTCTATTCCTCTACTCCTATTCCTCTCCTCCTCCTATTCCTCCTCCTCCTCCTATTCCTCTTGCTCCTCCTATTCCTTCTCTCCTCCTCCTCCTACTCCTACTAGTAATAAAGTTAATAATGATAATGGTAATGAAAATGATAATACTTTCAAAAAAATTCTTATACTTCCTTCTTTTATATAATTTAACTTATAATTCAAACATTGATTGTTAAGAAATTATTTCTAATTCTTGATAATTTTAATGTTAAGTGAATGTTAGGAAAAGTAAAACAGGATATTGTTACAGTTCTGCAGTAGAAGGCGATGCTGTTGTAATAAACCAGCTGCGTGGAGAGCTGCATGAGGCACAGCAGCAAGTGCAGCAGATGCGGACACAGCTCTTGGCCGCGGAGGAAGATGCCCAGCTCCATGCTCAGGATGTAGGTGTAGTAACTTATTTAGAAAGATTAAACTATTGTGCTTTGAAGTTTGACAAAAAAAAAATATTTCAGAAATTTTCAGATAATTGATCAAATATTCTGTCTCGTTTCATCAAAATCTTCATTTTAGCTCTCGACAGTTATTGGGGAATTGCAGTCGTACATGGCTGGCGAGTTCTCACTGGCTGATGCTGTGAGGGAGTTGAAGGAAGCAAGGAGTCAAGTCCGCATCAGGGACTCCCAGATCACGCAGCTTACAGCCCTAGCCAATACTTTGCAGATTAACATTAACGATCTGCTGGAGGAAAATGGTAGTCTCAGGTGAGGATGGGTTTCAATGAAGCTAAAAGTAAAAACAAAGTCTCTCGTGACGAATATGGATTAGAGGCTTTTTGTAATATTCTTTTTGATGTAGTTTAGAAATTTAATCAAATAGGTATATTTAGCTTTTAGATAGTATTTTATTATTTTAGTGTTGTATTTCACTTTACTTTGCGCTTATTAAGTAACAATTCACCTACAGAGAACAACTGAAACTAGAGCCTCGTGAGGACAATAGATATCCCAGGTGTTAAGAAAACTGATTGGCAGAATAGTAAAAAGATCATTGACCAGCTCACCAATCAGGTCAACCGACTCCAGGAAGAGAAGGTCAATCTGCGAACAAAGGTAGTTTCTGGTTGTGTTTTTGTCTGTATGATTAATTGGTAGTTGATGTTTTAGGGTGATTATTGTTTTTAATGGTTCTCTCATCAAGTGTAGGACATTACTTATCTTAGATGTTGAATTATAGCTTAGGAATATGCCAGTCTATTTGAAGTCTAAGTAATGCCTTCAGAAGAATGGGAGTACACTATTGTATGAATTTCCAAAGAGTCTAGGCATATTTGCCAAAATACATACAGAGAGATGTTAATAAGTAAAAAATAAAATGAAAATTACTACATACTGAGAACAGATAGTAAATTGCATAAAGAAAATAGTAAAGTTCACTTATTATTGACAGCTGCAAATTGTAAAGGGAATACATATGAAAAATGCAATGCCAGTTGCAGTCAACAAAATGCACTATCTCATATGTAAGGAATGTGACTGGCTTATAGGGCATTTGAAATATAATCCACTAAATCAAATGACTTTTCTCCTTGTATTTGCAGGTCTTTGAGTTAACCAGGGAGCTCTCCAATGCTAAGGGGTCTTTGCAACTTTACAACACTGGAATTGCCAAGACAGTTTGCATCAGGTTAGTGGTGAGATTTAGTTTAGGTATTATGCAAGAAAGTATTCTTTTTTCAGCCCTGAAAACAGTTTTAAAGCCTAGAGAAAGTGAGTTTCTTTGGAAAAGTAACATTTAACCAACAGTTTGGTAAAATTGCAGGACAAACATCAATGCTACAAACAACACAACCCCTTGAAGAACAGTTAAGCCATCTGAGTGCAGCTGTTGCCCAGCTGGTGCAGGGTCAACAAGAGGGACCTGTTGATGACCAGCTACACCAGAAAATGGAAGCCCTCAAGGAAAAGTGCTTAAGGTTAGAGCCTTATCTTGACTTGAGAATTTTTTTTTTTGCATGTTTACTTTTCTACTCTGGAAATATTGCAAACATGCATGATCATCAAATATTATCAAGATGTGTGTTGGGAAAGAGTTATCATATTGCCATGAATGGGAAATTGTATTTGATAGGCAGCTTTGCAACTTGTATTAATACTGTTTCCTAGGCTGGAGGGGGAGAAAGCTTCCTTGGAGAAGATAGTGTTAGAAAGCCAGCGATGGCAAAAGAAGAGGTCCGACAGCGACAGGACTTCAGAGAGCTCAGTCCTTGAGCCTAAGAGAGAGATGCCGAAGGATGAAACTGCAGAATCTGGAAGTAAATCCCCCGTAGCGGCACTTGATGAACTGATTGCTGCCTTGGGGAAACTTCCTCCGTCCACCGAAGAAGTGATTGCTAAGCTGAAGAACCAGGTCAATTTTCTGATCCAGGTGAGGGTTTAATAAGGTTTTACTGAGTTTTTATTTTTCTTATTTGCTTTTTTTTTTTTCTTTGTAAAAACTTATACTACTGTTGTGCTTTGTAACTATTAAGGGTTATTGATAATTCTATTTGGAAAGTTCTCAACATTTATGTATTATTATTGTTATTTTTCCAGTTTTAATGAAGTGATAACTGTGATATCATCTATTAGGATATCAAGATATACACATAAAATATGAGTAATTATACATTATATATGTTTATTTGAAAATGCGCACATCTTAATCATCAGGAATGTAACAAAAGGGAACAAGAGATTGGCCAGCGAGAGAAAGCGTCCCACATTTACACAAACCAGTTCGATGACTTGCGTACACAAGTGACTGACTTGAACGCTCAAGTAAGTACAGTGTGTTGTTAGATTGGGAGCATTCATTTAATTACCTCATTCACATACATTTTAGGTTATCCTCAATGCAATGTAAATGATTTAGATTTAAATATTTGTATCTACTTATATATTATATATATATATATAATATAATATATATTTATATATAATATATATATATATATATATATAATATATATATATATAATATCTGTCTAGATGTATGTATATCAATATCTATTTAAGTTGATGTATCTGTCTATTTATCTCTCTATCTATCTATCTTATTATATAATATATATGTATATGTATGTTTATACAGATATATATATATATATATACATATATATATATATATATATATATAAATAATTTATAATATAATAATATATATATATTGTATTTATATTTATATATTTTCTATATATGTATACTTTATATATATATATATATATATATAATATATATATAATATACTATATATATATATATAGTATATATATATATATATATATATATACACAGAAATACCAAATGGAAACAGATAAATCTTTGTGTTTATGCCAGTTTCATATCCTTACCTACATGTAATATTGCAGTTTGCTAAAGATCGGGATGAATGGCAGGCCGAGAGAAAGTCGCTAGAAGAATCTATATCCCAGCTGGAGGAAACAGTGAAAGCAGAAAGAGCACGCACAGAAGAGCTTAATTCGACCATTGATGCCATTTCATCCAGCCGGGGAGATGTTGATGGGAAGGTAAGGGTGACGTAGGATAGAGTAAAGTAGTGTGGCTGATGTAGGTCCTGATTAGTCATCATCATCAGCAGTTAATGTAGTTTTTTTCTGGACGGAAGTGCGATAGTGATTGGGATATTTTTTTTCTCTTAGATGAAATAAACTCTAACTTGCAGAAAAGAGATGAATCATATCACTTATTGATACAAGAATAACATCCTTACTTTTGTCTTTTGGTAGCTTGCAAAGAGGACGGCAGAAACTGAGGTGATGATTTGGCCATAACAAAGAGATTGAGCAGTAACCAGGGGGAAGGAAATCACAGCCTTGCACAACAGAATGAGAGAAGAAAGAATGAAGAACTACAGCAACATGTTCTTCAGACAAACAGGTTAGTACTTTTTTTTTCCCCTCTCTTTCATTCTTTCTTTGCGAGGCAATGAAAGTGATTGAGGTTATGATTTGACACTGGACGGTATTAACAAAATGTAGGTTTGACTTTAATTTCTTTTAATTTATTTTTTTTTATAGATAAATAGATTATTGTAGTAAATATAATAAATGAATTAGAAGAGAGCAAGTGCCAGTTAAGGCCCTGTAAATAAGTGTGGTTTAAATTTCCTAAACCATACTTATTATGCATGGTAGATAAGGAATGAGATAAAGTAAGCGTGAAATCAATTAATAATGTAAAGTGCAGTAAAACAACTGGGGTTTTCATTTCCTTCAGGCAAGGAATGAAATCGAGCAAGAGCAAGGGCTTTTGAAGCTCCGCGTGCAGCAGCTGGAGGGGGAGCTCGACAGATGGTGCCCAGAACGGTGGCCGATCAGACTTCTGCCCAAATGGCCGCCATCACTGCCAAATATAGAGCTCTGTTGCAAGATCAGGCTCGCATGGTTAGTTGCTGAGGATGGATACTTAGTTGGAAATTGCTGTAGGATATCTTTTAAGATGAAACCAGTTATTTGTTCTGGCATTATTTGTCAAAGTAATCCTAGTAAACTTTAGCTGAGAACATAGTGCATTATTATTGTTATGATGATGATGATGATATTATTATTGATATTATTATTATTATTATTATTTTATTATCATTATTTTTGTTATTATTATTATTATTATTATTATTATTATTATTATTATTATTATTATTATTATTATTATCATTATTTTTATAACTCCTATTATTATTGCAGAAAGAGAATCATGAGCAGGGTGTCCGCCTGGAAGCAGAGGTGAAGCAGCTGCTGGAGGAAAGAGAGCAGCTGAGTCAGCAACTGGAAAGTGCGAGGGAGAAGGTCCACTCCCTTCAGGCTTCCCTAAACCATCGTTGGGCGCTAATGTCACCACGTGCAGGTGCGTCTCCCTCCTCTTGCTTGATCCCCTTGCTTCATTTATCTGCGTTGTGGAGAGTTATCGTGTAAAGAGAGTAAAGAGTTTGATGTAGACGGGAAGTGTGAATACAGTTGAATATTTTGTTTTGCTCGACAAAAGGAAGTGTAGATGAGATGTAAACTTGTAGATACTTTGTTATACCGGGTTATTTAAAATGCAATGCCAAATTTAGTCATTTGCCAGGAGACTTAGAATCACAAAAAAGTTTTCATTGCGCTTTTTCAGGTGGAGGTACTATCCAAGCAATTAGCAGCTGTGGAACTTCGAGAATTACGCGAAAAACAGAAGGCAGAACATGCAACCACGATGTTCCAGAATGTCAAGAGTAA